TTCAGATCGCTTAAAGCCATTAATTGAAATGCCTGCTCCCACCAATAATGCTTCTCTCCGTCGAGCTCTTGGTATGTTCTCATACTACTCCCAAGATATCAAACATTTTTCTGACAAAATTCATCCTCTATCTCTAATTTCTACCTTTCCACTATCAACAGAAGCTATTAAATGTTTCCATAAAATGAATGAATTAATCTCTCAATCAGATCTACATGCTATTAATGAAATTATACCATTTAAGTTGGAAACAGATGCCTCCGATTTTGCAATAGCTGCTTCCCTTAATCAGGCTGGAAGAGCAGTTGCATTCTTTTTTCCCAAACTTTCACCTATTAAAAAAAAAACATTCTTCTGTTGAGAAGGAAGCTTATGCTAATGTAGAATCACTTTGAAAACGGAAGCACTACGTTGTTTGTCGGCATTTTACTTTAGTCATCGACCAGCGCTCTGTCTCTTTCATGTTTGACAATTACAAGAGTGGAAAAATTAAGAATGACAAGATTCTGAGATAGAGAATAGAATTTTCTTTATACAGCTATGATGTAGTTTATCGCCCTGGATGTAACAATTTTGTTGCTGATGCCCTCTCTCAACCTTGTTGCTCTATAATAATAAACGGACCCTCTCTTAAGGAACTACATAAATCTCTTTGCCACCATGGAATCACCAGAATGTATCATTTTATAAAATCGAATAACCTGCCTTTTTCAATTGATGATGTAAAAAAAACCATTTCTTCATGTCAAATTTGTGCTGAATTAAAATCTAAATACTATATAAGCAATTTTAACCACACCATAACAAAATCTACTTTTTGAGCAATTATGCATGGACTTTAAAGAATCTATTCCGTCTTCATCTAACAACAAATATTTTTTAACAGTTGTTGATGAGTTTTTAAGATTTTCCTTTGTAATTTTTTGTTATGATATCTCTACTTCAACCGTTATTAAATGTTTAACTCAGCTTTTCACTTTATTTGGTATGCCAGCTTATATACATTCAAATCAAGGCACTTGCTTCATGTCTAAAAAGCTCCGTAATTTTTTTCAATTCTAGAGGTTTCAACCTGAGTAGAACTACTCCTTATAATTCACAGGGCAATGGTCAGTGTGAAAGAAGCAATGGCATAATTTGGAAAAGAATTTCGCTTGCTCTCAAATCAAAGAATTTACCTACCATGAACTGGGAACATGTTTTACCCAAGGTCTTTCATTCGATGCATTTCTTTCTTTGGACTTATACTAATGCTACACCTCATGAACGATTGTTCGGATTCAGTCAACACTCTTCTAATAGACACTGTAGAGGCTTATAGTAAATATTCTCATGTAAGAATGCCTGATGAACGTGAGACCACTGTTGCTGCTAGATATTTCGCACCAAAGGCTGATATAATTAGTGATAATGACAGAAGTAATAACTCCAAAAATAACTCTAATAAACTAGATACAATCCCTTCACCTGAGCCTCTCCATCCAAAAAGTTCTTAAAACTTTTCTACTCTTTCTCTCCAACAAATCCTAATGAAATTTCTTTTGAGGAATCAGTCTCTCGTAGTTCAGGAAGATCCCGGAATCCTCCAAAACATTTAAATGAGTTTTTTTGAACAGTTTGAACTTATTTACTTATTTTGTTTATTTAGTAATGTAGAACGTGCTGATTCTTATAACTATTATTATCCTTGTTGAGTTTAATTATGTGTATACTAAAACTAACCTGTTTGTATATTTTAGTTTACATATTATTATATGAAGAATAAAGTCTTTTATGTTGCCTTAGAATTATTTATAGACTATTTAATTTATTACACCACAGCAATCTTGCGTAAAAATCTTATCAACCATTTAAAAAACCAACTTATATCCAAAAACAAACCAATAATATAAAAAGTACGTAAAAAATATGGTTTAATAAAAAATTCTGCGCTTTAGTAAAAATGTTTCTACCTATTTCTAAAAAATATTCCTTCACTTAATTACAATATTTTAACATCAAACCCTTTGCATAATTAATAAAAACACAGTAAAAATGAGCAACAGCGGCACTAGAAACATGGAGCAAATTATAAAATTCAGAAAAAAAAATTATTTCTGAAAGTTCAGAACGAGTTTAGCGTGCAATTGTTGGCAAAAAAAAATTGCTCCTTGAATAGTAATAGCCAAATATATCTAATTTAGTTGATAAATGTAAATGGTCAAACCATAAACAGTCTTTTAATAACAAAAATCTACTGAATTCTACTACTCTCTTTAAATATTATTGCGATATTAAGGAAAAAACAAGTATAGTGTCAATCCTAACCCTGTCAATAATTAAAAAATTCCCAATTTACAACAATTTATTAAAATGTTTACTTTGGTTGTACGTGAAACTCAAAATTATTTTATACAAAAACCCAGAACAACTTTTAAATAAAACATCTAAATTCCCAATAAAAAATCTTTACCGCCATATAAAAAACAAAACAAAAAAAAACATGAAATTAAAAAAGTAAAAATATTTCAAAACTAAAACAATAAAATGTTAACATTTTGGATATATTTTTTACAAGGCATCATACTGTTTTTACTAACTGATGATCACAGTAAGCGCGAAGCAGCATTTAATTAAAACAGAATAGTATTTAAAGGCAATAACAAATTATTTTACACTTTTTACTTTTCAGTATAATATACAGAACTATACAACAATGTTTGTATAGTTCTTTATATTATATATAAAGAACTATACATTAAAATAAATAAATTTTACACAACAAATATTGTTTAAAATTGTTTTCAATTTTAAAGAATATTTTTTATAATATGTAAAAGGTTTTAAAAGATTTTTCTTACTAATTATTTCATTTCATATAAAAATGACAACATATTGCAAATTGATGTTGCTAATGGTTCAATAATTCAATCCTGATGCTTAGGTGCACTCCGTTTTCACATGGCAAAATGTGTAAACAAAAAAAGATTTAAAATTTTACTCATTCACAAACCTTTATACTAAACCTTACTCATACCTCGGTAGTTAAAAATAGGCCCAATAATTCATTTTGTGTGTGTGTGCAAATTTTTGAGTATAATTCTAATGTTCATCTACTCACAACTCAGCATGTTTTTCTAACAATCCAGTTTGTTTTTATTTGTAATTCAGTCTATTATTACTGGCCATTAATTTTGTTACAGACATACCAGTTTATTGTTACTGTCAGTTCTGACAATCCAGGGACAATGGTCGGTTTGCAAGACGTTCATATTACATGACAATAAAATAAATTTTACAAGTAGTAATTATTACTAATAAAAACTGTTTCTAGTTGCGTATGTTTTCTTTCAAGAATCAATAATGTTTTATCTGTAAAACATGATTAATTATAATTAAATTTAGAATATAAATCCATTGACTTATCATTTCAAGCCTAGAGTTTATAACTTTTTTATGCATTTTTTACAAAAACACTACTTCAACAATAAAGTTCAAAAAAACCATAAAATAGCATTTTATAAACATAATATAATTTAACAGTTTTAAAAATGCATTTGCGGTACAATTGGTATGAGCTACAATTCTGACAAGGGCTCTAAATAAGCAACATTGGTCAAAAAGGATACACGAACTAAAATAAAAGTTTTTTTTAAATTAGTAAATAAAACTAATAAAATAACTGAGTAATGTTCATAGACTTAGTTTTGTAGCTTTATTGAGTGAATTTAAGTTTATTACATATGTGAAATTTATATAAAAGTATGTATATATATATATATATAAATACGTATATATATATATATATATATATATATATATATATATATATATATATATATATATATATATATATATATATATATATATATATATATATATATATTGATATATATAATATATATATATATATATATATATATATATATATATATATATATATATATATATATATATATATATATATATATATATATATATATATATATATATATATATATATATATATTATATATATCAATATATATATATATATATATATATATATATATATATATATATATATATATATATATATATATATATATATACGTATTTATATATATATATATATATATATATATATATATATATATATATATATATATATATATATATATATATATATATATATATATATAAATAATTTTATAATTTAAAAGTTTTTTTTTTTGTTTATAACATCAAACTTAAAATCAAACTATAAGTAACATATTTATAGGGTTTCACATATAATAGTATTAACATTATGAACAATGGCAAAATCACTTTGGAGATATAATTACTTATTTACTCAATATAATTGACACTTTTATTGTGTAAATAATACAAGTTTTCAATAAGTAATAAAAAAAGCTTCAAAAAGTTAAATATATACTATATTAAAAGTAAAACTAAAATGAATTATGTCATTAAGTGTATATTACACTTACAGTATATAGCGTACATTGGTACTCACAAAATATACACAAATGTATACTAAATAATGAATGTATACTTCCTACAAAGGCAATTTTACGGGGGGGGGGGCTGTGTGTGTGGGGGTGTTACCCCCCCTCCTCCTCCAAAGTAGGTGATTTTTAAATTATAGTTGATTTTTTTACTAATTTAGTTGGCTAGTCGGGTATTTGACACAATTCACTAGACTAAAATGTAGTTTTAAGGCCCTTTTTTTTTTCTTTTTAACGAAGCCAGTCGGTACTTTTTAAGGATTCACTCCCCCCCCTCCCCTCATTTTATTTGTAGAATTGCTTCTGACTGCCTACGTATCCATATTAACAGGTCTGCATAACAATGCATACTGTTTATGTACAGTGTACGTTGATATATACAGTATACAATAATATATATAAACTGTGCATATACATTTGCAATACTGTATACAATAATACTGAAACAATATATATTGATGCATACAAATTATAAATTGAGAAACATGCACTATTCATTATATTTTATGCTAAATATAAAAGATTATAAACCTTTGATAGCCACAATCTTGACAGTCAAATGAATATATCAAACGCTCTTTAAAATTTAGTTTAGTATCACAGTTCGATATGCACCTATTTATCAAAAACAAATTTTTTACAAGCTAATCTCAAATACTACATAATAATTAAATTAAAATAACTTAATAAAGACAAAAAAACTTAATAAAATACTTAATAAAGCTGTTTTTACTAAAGCTGCTAATGTCATAAAGACAAAAGCTAAGAAAGAGTGATACAAAGGTAGAAAAAACATGTGTTAGATGTTAAAAAATTACAAACAACATGAAGTAAATTAAGTAAAAATAGGATAGATTTTAGTTTTGAAAAAATAACTTTGAAAAAATACAATTTAAATGTGCAATTAGAAAAATTTGAAACAGAATGGATTTTTATGAATAATAATGTCTTTTGTTAAATTTATTATTTTTTAGATTTGCTATAAACAAACTTAGAACACATTCTTTGTATAACGTTTTACACAGCTAAGGTTTATTTTTTTTTAATTAAATAGCTAGTTATGGAAAAAAATTATAAGTTAATACACCTAAAATATGATAAAAAATTTTGAGAAAAAGGTTAATAAAAAAGTTAAACTCAAATACAAAAGTAAATCAAAATTAAAAAGTAGGTAAACGCAGTCAAATGAAAAAAAAATTATCTAATTTTGATTAACTTGATTCTTCTATGATAAAGTTTCTAAACAAATTAGCAACATTAAATAATGTATTAGTTTAAAACTTTTTTACTTTACAATAATTGTACTTACCACATCAAAAGAATTATATATATATTAGTGTAGGTTGTGTAAATAATATATAATACTTTTTACATTATATTTTTATTACTATTTAAAGGTATTCATTTATTCTTGTTATACTAGTAGTTTATATCTACAAGCATAATTGTTTGTTACTGCCTTTTGTTTTGAAAAATAAAACAAAGCCGTGTAAAAAACAAGTAAATTTGCTTTTCTAGTTATTGATTTCTTTTTTATTACTATTTGTAAATTTTTAATTAATTATTCAAGCCTTAGTGGGAGTAAATGAGTGCACAAGTAGTAAAAACCCTGTAATTAAAAAAACTTGATAAATAATTGATAAATAAAAAAAGTGAACACCAAACTGAACCAGAATTTCCTGAACTGTAATCAGAAATACCGTTTGTGGTTTTAAGTCATTTCAGGTGAAGAAATCACTTAAGTATTGAACTGCTCTCAGGAAGCTATTGAAAATGTTTGTTATCCATTAACTGTCCTTGTTTAATCCTAGTTTTTTTGGGTATGTATTTTGGGCAAAAGTTATATATCATTGAATTAACCTACACTAATATTTTAAAATAAAACTTTTTCTTGACTCCAAAAAATAGAACTTTATGTTTATAATAAACTTCGTTCAGAAAGTTTGTGTAAAACTTTCAAACTGTATTTTCAAAAGAATAGGTAATAGTCAAAAATATACTTTCTGAAATCTATCTAGGCTCATTTCATAATAGTCAAAACTTTTTTTTGTTATATATGTAAAAAGTATTTAAGTATAAATATTTGTTGAGTGTAACTTTTAATTGGTTTTGAGGTCTGCAACTTGCTTTAGCAAGTTGAATAGCTTCTTACAGAAATATTTGTTTGTTAAAAATAGAGATGTGATTTTTTTTTGTTTTGACTTTGTTGCAGCTAAGAATTAAAAATTTTTCCTAAACTTTAATTGAGAGCATTGAGGAGCAAACGTTATCCTAAAAAGTTAAGGCATGTTCTTTCTCACAGATAATTTGTTTTTAAAGAGATTCTTTCTCTTGCAATTTTAAAGGACCAATTTTGTAGTAGTCCTTTCTAATGATTTAAAATTAAACAAAGGGGAAAACGTGTCCTCTTTCTCTTCGTGTTTTCTGTGAAAAGTAGTTCTTCATGATTAAAAGAACACATGTGGTGCCTAAGAATCACTGATATTAAGCTTGGTCCTCTACAGCTGACACAAATGAAAATTTGGCAATATTTTTATTGTTTTTGCTTTGGACCTACAGAGAACAAAAATGACCTGTCTAGCATAAAGGCACTAATAAAATTTGAAACTTAATAATAACAATGGTAGCAACAAATTAGGCTTATGACAAGTTATAATAGTAAATGAGAGTTTTAATAGAGGTATTAAGGCATATCTGACATTAATTTCTCATACTAGGCAATAAGGTCCTCTTTTTTAAAAAAAAACAGGAATCGTTTTGAAACACTTTTCTCACATAGAAATGAATGTTTAAATTAATGATACTTGTCAAACTTGATAAAAATTTAGATGAAATTTTTGTTTGATGACACAGAGCCTATAAATGATTTTTCCTGCTCTTCAAAGGAACTCTTTACTCCTCAAAACATATTCTTCCTTCAAAAACGTTCGCACTTTTAGAAATTTTTCAAATAAAAAATGTTTGCAGTGCTACTCCAACTAGTTTTATTAAACTTTTATAAATTTATCATTTCAAAAAACGTGATGTTGAAAAAAATATGCTAAATCTTCTTTTTTTTTTTAAGTAGGTTAATATTATTTATATAAATAATTGAAATAACAACAAAGATACAATGAGGCAATGATGGTAATTTGGTTTTTAGAAATGTTTTGACCTAGGTGTGGAGGAGAGAAGAAAAAATGGTTTTGATTTTTATACTTTCTTGAAGAAAAGTTAAATTTTTAAGTATTCTCTAAAGGATAGAGTCGGTTATCTTAGTGAATAAAAAAAATACTTGGTGTCCTCACAATTTCTCTGCTTTAAGTGAAATGAATATATATTATTTTTTACGTAGGCGTCTTTGGAAATGCTTCTTGACCATCTTTAAGCATATTAATGCATTGTGAAAGTAGATTTAACCTTATGAAAAATTAAGGAATTTAGGGAATGAAATAGAAAAAATAAATATGAAAATAAATGAAATAATAGGGAATGAAAAAGCCAATTCAAAAAACGCTAAATATAAAACGTTAAATATAAAATTAACATTTTGGTCAATAGAATACAAATGGTACATAAAGCAAAAAAATAGTTCTAACAGTTATCTGACAGTTAATTTTACATAAAAAAATATTTGTATTTTAAAAAATAGTGAACAATAATGATATAAATAAAAAACTTTTTGAAGTATAAGAGGGTAAAAAAACTAACTAAATTTACACTAAACTGCCCAACCAATTAACCAATTCATTTGAAATATCTCAATTATTATTCTTTAAAAAAAAAAGTAGCAATAAAACATACTTTAATGTAACAGTTGGAAAACTTCCTGAAATAAAAATTTCTTGAGCAAAACAGCTTTTCTTGTAGTAATCAATAGAATATACATCTTTCCCAACATATTTCGTTCCACAAACTTCAATATGATAATTAATATCTTCTAAAAACTGTTGTGTACTAAAAACTATTTCTGAAAGGTTTGAAGGAATATCTATCCAGGATTCATTAAAACAAGTATTACTTAAAAATGCTGGTCTCAAAAGAGTGAAGTTCTTCATAGCAACTATAGCGTAAGAAAAATTTGAAGCAGTTTTACATTTCCAGCTAAAAGTTATATTTTGAGTTCCAACTAATGGGTCATCTGGATCATAGCTAGACACTGCACTGACTTTAAAATTTTGATAAAAACTTTCATATCCAAATTTCTTTTTGTATGCAACAGATGCAAATATACCTTTATCAATTTCCATATAGAGTGGTGAAAATGTAACATTTAAGTAAGCAGTATAAATTGCTGAAGTGTTACCATATCTACATTTTAATGACAGTATGTAAGCACCAAAATCAAGTGAATTTTTTAAAATTGAGTAAGTAACTTTTTGCTGATATAGTACACCTTTTTGTTTAGTTACTATAGGCTTAAAAGCAGAACTAGTGAGATCCCATTCAAAGGTTACATTACTATAAAATGGATCAACACTTTCAACAAAAGCTGTTAAATCTCTTCCAGTACTTTTTATAATAGTCATTGGATTGTAAACAGTTCCATAATAAAAAATTATTTCGGGAAAAGAACAATTTGTTACCATGATTAGTAAAAAAACTGGACTGAGAGTCTGCAAATCATTCCAGCATGTAACAGATAAAGTGTAATTGTTAACACTTTTATACATATGCTGAACTTGAAATGAAACAGGACTAGAGTTCAAAGTCTGATTATTAACAGTAGAATTTCCATCTCCCCAATCAATTGAATATATCATATTTGATCCAGTCTTTTGATAGATGTCTAATGTTATACTTTTGTTTAAAAATAATTGAACATATCCACTTAGAGATATTGGTGGTGCTGTAATAACATTTAAAAGAGATAGGTTGCAAAACACTCTAACGTTTGCAGAACTGCTGAATATTGGAGTAGTAGTATTCCTATAACTATCGAAAACATATGCAGTGATTGTATATGGTTGACACACAGAATACCTGAAGAAAATGTTTTAAAGCAAAATATATGTTTAAAAAGAAATGAAATCATCAAAATAACCTATACAATAACAAAGAGTTTTAAATAATTTTTTTTTTATCAAAACCTAAGGTAGTTATAAAGCTTTGATAATAAAATCAATTTTATATTATAATCTCGATTTACCATTTTTGAGTTAGTTTCACCTTCATTATATTAAATAAAAAGTGAAAATTATTTCCAAAAATAATATATTATGATATAAAAAGTATATTCATAACTGTATTACAAAAACATTTATTTTGATATGAAATATCTTTAACACTTATAACTTCATTAAATTTTCAGTATTTAAAATTTTTTTAAGTCATTTAATAGAAATCTTTTTAAAACAAACAATGTATAAAAAATGAAAAGCAAACTAAGTTTGTAACAAGTTATGCAATTTTTTCAGAAACTACTTTAGTTTTCTATAAAACTTAAAAGAAAATACTTCTAAACTTCTAAAGAAATCTCTAATAATAGCAGAGTAAAAAAAACATTATTTACATCATTTAGTTAAGTTGAAGTTGTTTTTGGTTTTCAAGGTAAGGATTAAATATTATATAACAATTGGTATATTCATTTGAGAAAATTTCTTTTATGATTTGCGTTTTAACAATTAGAATTTTTTTTTTTTATATATAAATTATATATATTTTATATAAATTATATTATATTATAATAGGGTTGACTAAAAAATTATATAACTAACATAAAACTTTTTTGTTAATTTTGTAATATGAATTATGATTATAATAATTATAAGAAATATTATTTTTATCATTAAATGTTGTGTTACAGTTACTAGGAAAAACAATCAAAGAAAGTCAGCTCTCCAGGAGACAATGCTGCACCTAGTAACTTAACTGGTATAACAGACAAATCTAGTTTTTTCTCATCGAATTAAAAATGAAACTGTAATATTCTGATAATCCCAACTTCTTATAATTTTGACTAATGTGAGTATCATGGCTCAAAATTAAAGTTGAGTTTCAGCTGGGATCAGGGCGTGCTCGTGGCATAGGCAAACTAGGTATTTGCCTAGGACGCTAAAATCTCCAAGGGGGCTAAAAAAGTATGATACGAGTATTAAAATATCGGAATATGTATTCATATGATTTTACTTATTTAAATTTATTTAATCCACGATTATCAATCCATTATCACAACATTAACAGTGCATTATCGCAACATAAAAACAACAACAATTTTTATTTACTTGTTGCCGGATACGATTTTTTATGTACTTGTTGCTTGATACGATTTTTATTGATACTTAAAAAAACTATTTAGAAAATCAAAAAGCAATTCAACTTTAGGTACGGAATTTGTGAAATCTACGGTATGTAACAAAGAAATGAAAAATAAATTCCTTGTCAACTTTTTTATAAAACTGATGCGTGGAAAAGTTTTAAAGTTCTAAAAATACTTTAACGATAATAAAATGTTACTGTTACTTAATCAAGACACCAATATTTTCACATTATTAAGTTAATAGCTCAAACCTATAACAATGAAACGAAATAAAATCGTACATAAAAAGAAATGTGTTGTTAAAGATTTAAGTTTTTTGGTCATGTAATGCTGTTCACAACTCTTCACTTTTAACAAGGTACTAATGTAAAATATTTTTTATGGAGTTACAGAATCAACCACTGCAGCCTGTGGAGACCATCCTATGGATGATCAGCAAAGTGGATCTGTGCCTGTTGAGCAAGAGTCCTCTGTATCTGCAGCTCATACTGCCTTTGATGACCAACAGCTTTATGATCAAGAAAGTCGGCCTTCTACTCAATTTATGGACGAACAGTGCAATCGATAAAGTGAATCTGAAGCTGCAGTATCTGAATCATCTTTTTTGCTGCTTCTGAACTTTATGAAGACACTTATGTAAAAGAGCAATCGCGATTAGATCATTACGGTGTGTAAAGTACTGTTGAAGGAGCCAAATTAGTTGAGGCCACCTTGTAAGATAAATGTGATCTCACAAATCCGGCATTTTGACCACATGTTTCTGCCACACATAGAACTTCCATTGTTAAATTAGACCCTGTAGCTTTTCAAAATTGAAGTTAATTAAAAATTACTTACGCACACCTTTGTCTCAATAATGTTTAAATGACTAAGCAATTCTCTCAGTGGAACAAGAAATGGCTGCCAAAATTGACATTGGCATTCTTGATATCGAAAAGATTCACTCAGGCATTTGTGTGCAGAAAAACATCTGCAAAAAAACTCAAATGAGACTCCATGTAATGTGAACTGCTAAAAAATATACAAGACAATTTCTTTCTTTGCCGATAGTTTTTCATTATGAGGATAATGAAGTTTGAACGAATACTAAAACTAAAAAAAGTTTATTCATGCTTGGAAAAAGTAATTAAAAACGTTAACACGCATTTTTTGATAAAAGAATCTAGATCATCTTTACCAAAAGACGTTTTCTTCAGAGCAAAGGTTTTGAAATACTTCTTGCATCTGAAGGAGAAGCAAGCAAAACAAAAAGGTAGTATAGTTATTCACTTTCCATTGACAAAAAAACTTTGAAATCAGCTGCCATAATAAAAAATACTTTTGCTGCACTTTTTCAAAATTAATTGCACCTTGGATGTTTATATATATATATATATGTATATATATATATATATATATATATATATATATATATATATATATATATATATATATATATATATATATATATATATATATATATATATTATATATATATATATATATATATATATATATATATATATATATATATATATATATATATATGTATGTATATATATATATATACGTATATAGCGTACAAATAAAAACTTTTTTTTTTTTTAATTATAAAATAGATACACAGGGCTTTATTGAAAAACTCTTTAAACTCGTATTTTAAAAAGGAATTATTTACTCAACAAAACAGCATTAGCCAAATTCATATTCAGGAGTCTGACACTAGCAAAAACCTTTGCGGTAAAATGCTTTTATGGGCTGCTAGGTTAAAAAAGAACATATATAATCAAATATATATATATATATATATATATATATATATATATATATATATATATATATATATATATATAAATATATATATATATATATATATATATATATATATATATATATATATATATATATATATATATATATATATATATATATATATATATATATATATATATATATATATATATATATATACATATATATATATTAGGGCTGTCCGAAAAAAATTTTTTTTCAGATTTGATTGCATAGTTGTTTATTTTGTGCCATTTGACATATTAATTAACTGTGCAAAAAATCTTTCCGATCAGATAATGTTTAGGGGGTGCTCAATGACCATAAAGTTTTACGAAAAATGTGAAAAACATGGAAAAAGTAACAAAGTTCCACAAATTTCTAAAACCCGGTTAATTAGATTTTTCAGATTTTATCAGTTTTAATTATCTCTAAATATTAAATTCTGAATACAAATTACAATCCTTATCCACTTTATACTGGTTTATTAGCAGAGAAATTAATGAAATGAAATACTGCAATACGACTAAAGTTCTGCGGTTTTTGTTATATCAGAATTTTTCCAAAATAAAACACTAAGATTTTTGACTCTTTTTCATTGATTAAAATACGAATTATAAACAAAAAAAATTATTGTGAAGGAATAACAGTTTCTCAAACCATTATCAACTACTAAGTAGGTCAACTCAAAAACATATGAGCAATTAACATTTACTTATCGTAATGTTATAGTTCGTGCAATGTTAATGCTAGCAAGGACTATAACTCTTCAAAGTACACTTTCTGGCATCTGGCACTCGCTTTCTGTGATCCTCAACCACCTGAATTAACCTCTACATTTCAGATTCATTCCTTGTAGTCGATTCATTGAACATCGACATTAAAGCCACAGATAGTTCGGCAGCATCATTTACTACTTTCAATGAATATACTAAATTTTTTCCTTCTTGGTATTCTGGGGAATCATTCCAGGTGGCTGGATCGTTGTTGAACAGAAAATCAATATCAACCTTCATTGACCGCAACGCACTTGCTGAAACTGATGTCACCAACATGTCGAGAGATTTCTTCTCTAGACTTTCAATGTTCTTTAATTTGATTAATCTTTCAGACCAGTTCTCACCGTGAAATTTCATGTTGGAAATCATTTTTCGCTTCTCTTCCGTTTTAAGTTTGTTTGAAAACAAAGCTAGTGGGACCAATTCTGGTGAAAGGTACCACAAATGGTTTTGAAATTTCTTGACTGCTGCTTCGGAAATCGTTTTATTCACAACTGCAAACTGCTTAAGTTGCTGAAACAGAAACAAGTCATTAACTGCAGCATCGCTGGCATTTGGGCATGATATCCAAGATTTTACATAAACCAGACTAGCAAATAAGTAAAATTCACAGAGATTTTTTTCCTCTTTTGTGGTCAACTTGAACTCTTCACGAAATAAATAAATCTTAAAACAATAAATAACCTTGGCCATCCAGCGAGCCATGTGATGAGCACCAGGGATCTTGAAATGATAATTTTTCTCTTCTTGATCAGGCAGTTTTCCAAGTATTAACAGACAGAGATCCATGATTTCTTTGTAGTCATCCCTTGGCATTTTAACATGCAGGTTTTCTTTGAAGAATGCCATCACTTCATTTTTTAGTTCTTGCACCAGTGGTATTTTCATTCGAATGTCATCCAGAGGTTTAAAATTTCCTTGATTAACTTTGGGCCAATATTGCTGAAATCTCTGGAAAAGAGGTATGTTGGGACCAGATGATGGTCCAAATAGTGATCCAAACACTCCTGCTACTATGATCTCATGAACATGGTGTCTGCAAGCAAAATATAACAAATTTCTACCTATATGTTTCTCTAGAACTACACATGCACCATTTTCAGAGCCAGTGTTAGAGGCTGTTGTATCAAAACTCATTCCAATAACATCACCAATTATGACCCAGAAATTAGGCA